GTGTACTGACCAGAATGACATGGCTTCTGTTATGAGCACGGTCTTCTTTTGTTGTTCCGACATGTTTTGACCTCGTTCTCGCTGCTTGATCGTGTTGTCAGTGCGACCTCGACGAATGCACATTCCCCTGAGTCCTCTACCATATTAATCTTGAAGATTTCCAGGGACTGTCTCCGCATCCACTCCTAAAGACCCGAATAAGAGGGAGATTATTTCCACATAAAAGTCATCCTTTTTCTACGACACAAATGATCTGATGTTGTGAAGTTTAGCGATTCGGATCCTGTTGGAGAGGGATGGATTAGAAGATGAAGCGAGCTCAAAACTACTATGCAGTCTAGATGAGAACATCGGTACGACTTGAAAGGTGTTGTGGAGTTCAAGGGCAAATAGCATGGCTTTTCACCATTTTATTGTGAGAAAATTCAGTCAGTCCAGTAAAGCCATTGAAAAACAACTTTAGTTGCTCTATTTATCAAGAAATGGGGAGTAAAAAATGCCTTAAATGTAAAATGCGCGAACAAGTAATCAGCATTCATTTGAAACGACAACGTTGATAAAACCTTCGGAAGCATAAGCTATAGCAAAGATTCCTTGGGCCATATTTGAGGAAAATGGCCATTTTCTTGCATGGTTTCTTTCTATTTGAGAGTAGGGGGACTTTCAGTTCGCATGAAAGTGAATGCAGATACGAAGAGAAACTGGGTTTTGATGAATCTCTTCAGATAATATTGTTAGGGGGACTTTCAGTAGCAAATAACCTTGTCATCTTTTATAGAAGTTGTTTGATTATGTCTTCTCAACTTCTTCGTATTGTCAGGGAGACCCAGAGGAACGCACCTTGTCCGGAGTCCATAAACTGCATGATAATTTTCAGATTTGGATCATGGACCTGGTACATTTCAAGACATTTCGTCGGCATCGTCAATGGGCCTTGCCAATCTTAGCTCCACACTACAATTCATCACATAAACAAATGAAGAGGATCCTTTGACCAATTATCTGCTTCTAACTGACAATGCCGACTACAATGACGGCGAAACGGTTGAGAATGTACAAAATCCATGCTACGACGTTAGAAATCATCCTGGATATAATGGACTCCAGACAAGGTGGGTTCCTCTGGGTCGGCCTTACAATACAACCAAGTTACCAAAACAAGGTCAGACAACTTCTATGCAAGGAAAGTAGATAACAATCATACTAAAGGCCACATCATCTTGGTATTCATATTTGGTAACCTTTTGTTTACATTAAGTAGGCTTTGAGACCATCAGTAGATCTAGTAATATTTTATCCACTTACTTTATGCAATCGAGGTTTTTTTTCGGTCGGTGTGCGCAATCCCCTTCGCATGCAGTCGCAGAGGCTATGTAGGTGCTTTAGTTTGAGAATACATACAATAAAATGATCGAGTAAATGGGCCAGTATAGCTTAGTTGCCGATGTTATCAGATGATTATATCTGGCCGGGTAAACGAAATGGCTCTGTCCAGGCCTCTTCGTCTAACATGCTCAAGTGTCTTATTCTCCAAAGTTTGTTTGAGATTATTTAAGGACTGATTCTGATGTTAGGTAGCCCTTTGGTGCCATGGAAATTTACTTGACCTTGCCTACCAAAAAGGTCTTCTCATCTTGGATAGTCCCCAGTTTCCGTACCCCCGATGGGATCCAAACCGAAGGCATGGGCATCCTGGCCAACTTTTTCACTCCGCTACACAGTCACTGTTGCCATTCGGTCGCTGAGCAGTAGTCGATTTCAAGTAACTCTCATATTACATTTATACTGAGAATGTGGGCGAAGAAAAAATTTATTTGACATGACAGTCGAACAAGATACTTAGTTTCCATGTGAGTATGCTCTGAAATTATCAGTTATTCTTGAATAAAATATGAAACTAAGTTGTTTTTCAAAGAATGCTAGAGTGACTTTTATTTCTTTCAAAAAAGGCTGGTTGGAAGAGCTTCATAGATTGGCATCTCCGGACACCGACATGAGATAGTCTCGGAATTGTGACTGTTGGATTTTGCGAAAAAGACTTCGGCTCATCATGAATGATCAATCTATGTTGAGCTTTCCTCTGTCCCACCCTGACGGACATAGGCCAAAACAAAAAATAAAAAAGGCGGTTTAAGCACGCAATGAGACAGCTGTGAACACATCCTCTCACTTATCATGCCTCATTTTCACATATCTTCAAGATATAAGGTAGCCAATTAAATTTTTACATGCCTTGTGGAAGTTGTGAAATTAGGCCAGCCTTTGCAGACTACCTATTTCGGTTCAGTAATTTGATGAAATTATCATAACTGAAGAAGGTGACTTTGAATCTAATATTAACTCTTGTAGATACTAAATAGGTTTAAAGTGATGAGGCACTAATGGTGAATTAATAAGAGAGCTGTATTCATTCCATTTCTTCCATAATATCTACTAACAGTCTCGAAAACCCCTTATTATTTACTTATATATCCTCACAGCTGACAATATGACTTGTATTCGAATTGAGTAGTATTTTGAGATATTCAATAAGGTTTTGAGCAGCTTATCGAGACTACTTGTAAATCATATGTATGAGCTGTGTTCACTCCATTTCTTTTAGGGTGATAAAGGACTGGAAGTTGAATTGTTACACAATGATATGAGTAGAGTTGTCGGTTTCATTGAATTTCACATAGCCTCGTTTTCCCAAAAATTATTCGTATCCAGGCTGAAGTTGACTGAAGATTCGACCTCGTCAATTTCTTATAAACACCCCCAGTCGGACTCGAACCATGACAGTTCAGCATATAACCTAGACACGTTAACCGTTACACCACATTGTCACAAATGCGCATGGGTTACAGGTAATATATGAATTTCAAGAATAACTAGACGTGTTCCCATATCACAATCTGTATTAGGATTGTTGATTAACCAAACTTATAGTTACTATGCCAAATCCAGGGCTTCCATCTCGCCTAGCTCTTATTAATATTCTTGGCTAGGTTTGAACTGACGTTCATACTGAAGGATAAAACTTTCTGGGAAAGCAAGGCTATGTGAAATTTAATGGAGACTTCATATCTACTCATATAATTGGGGAGAATTTAGCTACCAATCCTTCATGACCTTAAACGAAATAGGGTCAACAGAGCTCATTTATAAGATTTATTGTTTTGAAGACCTCTATTTAGAGTGAAAGAGCATAAAGAAGAGATTCAAAGGTAGATCGCACCAAAAGTGAACAGCTGTTTCCCATTTATACTGCAGCCGCTTGATTTTAATACTACGTTCAGGTTGACGCAGTCCATGTTTCGAGTGAAACCTGGCTAAGTTTTCGTCCATCATATGATGGGCATCATCAGAGCTGGAACTAATTCTTCTAAAAGTCTTAAGTTAACACTCGGTCAAGAAGACAATCCGGCTTAATCTTACCTCTTACATACTTCGTATGAAAATCTTCTTGACCCTGTGTTACCATGAGACCTTTACAATAATGAGTTCCAGCTCTGAGGATGATGGACGAAAGCTCAGCCCACTTTCACCCGAAGCAAGGAAGGATGGCTCGTGGACTGCGTCAAACTGAACAAAATTAAGGTTTCCACAACAATCTACCGATATCGGTCAGGGTAGGACAGATGAAAGCTTAACACGGATTAAGCGGAGTCTCAGGACAATGAACCGAGGTACTTTTCGGAGGTAGTCACAACTCCGAGATACTTCAAGTTCGGTGTCCGGTGATACCAATTTGGGAATTATTTGCACTCGTCTCTTTAAACGAAATAAATGTGCAACAGCAAAAGTCTTGTCGCCCCGTTTGGATTCAGGAAATTTCAGCTACAATGGGGATAAGTGCCCTCAATACTACTTAATTCCACAGAACCCTCCTTCCTAAAAGGTTTTCGAACTTAGAGTGAACTGCAAGTTCTACCTCACCTCGGTCGCCCCAGTATCCCAGTATCGTCTTGTGAGCATGGTTGCGATAGTTTGCGACTCCGCGACTGATCCTGTCGAAACCCTCTCACATCGGATTCAAGTCGCCGAGGCAGTAGTTGCTACTGCCGGTATCATTCTAACGATGTCTGGCGGTTGGGAACTACACAGAGCGATTTTTGAGCAAATTTTCTGACATCCAAGAGCTGCTAAGCTTCAAAACTTCGCACCAAGGCTGCAGAGACCTGAAGACCGAGTCGCTCGTCCGAGCCTCTCCCTAAAACTGAGTTGGCCTTTTATAACCCGACCAGGGCTATCCGAGCCTTTTGTGTGTGGGGTGTGAATGGGAGGGACATTTGAAGATATTCAGGGAGCCTGAACCACGCACCCCAGACTCGCGTCCCGAGGGCACTTATTTCTTTTGTGTTCGCTTGGAAGTGGTGCTCTGGCTCGGTGTACCGCCAGGTCTGCTGCGGAGAATGTGGGACGCCTCTGACGAAATGCTAATAAAATGCAAAATAAGCCATGCACTGACCTTATACTTTGAAGGAGTAAAAACATTTACAAGTGCCAGCCTTAAAGACGGCTTTACCTGTTTGCAGACAGGTTGAGCAAACACTTTGTGTTGCCTGAGCATCGCTTTCCTCTCTTCGTCGCATTCGATGGCCAGTTTTTCGGTTTGCTGTTGTGATATGCCAAATTTGTACTCACACTGGCCGCCTGTAACTAAGCTGTTTACATGAGCAAAGGTAAATATGGAATGGGAAGCTGCTGTGGAGGGGCTTGAGACAAGACACTTGAAGAATTTTGTTTTTTGAGCCAAATTCTTGCTGTTCTATCTTGTGAGGGTTTCGTATGATTTTGTGAAATTGTTAGATCAGGAGACACTTTAAGAAGAGAATAGGATAGTAAGTTTTGATGTTGTGTCTATGTACACAAACATTCCTGTTCAAGGAGCTATTCAAGTTCTTATACAAAATCTGGAGGAGCCTCTAGAGGTAACACAATGAATAAGGATGAGTGTAGCGTTCACAATTAGGCTTCTTAACCTTCTTAACGTGAGACTTTTAAAGGAATGAGACCCGGCTCTGATGATGTCCATCGAATGATGGACGAAAGCTCAGACCGTTTTCACCCAAAACGAAGCAGGAGGTCTCGTGGATTGCGTCAACCTGAACGTCGTATAAAAGCCAAACGGCTTCAGTACAATGGGATTCATCCGTCCTCAACTGGGGTGATCGACCTATGAATCTCTTATTCTTGCACTTTCATACGAAATGAAAGTCCCCCCAAGCAACGATCCTTAAATGTCTAACTCTTTTTGTGCCCAGGGGCTGTATCGTTGAGTGGTAGCATTACAGCAATACCACTCGGGTTTGAATCCTGTTTGGGATGTTAATGATAATGATGATTAGGCGAAGTCGAAATTGCAATCCAGTCCAGCAGGAATAAGATGGCATTTTGGGGGACAAGGTCGAGTGAAAGTGAATGATATCCTGAGACCATTTAGATAACCTTAAGTTACCTCGACTAACAAACTTTTTGTTTAGGCATTACAAATTCACATCGAGAGACATATGTTGCTTTTCCTTTCCCCCCCCCTCGCCCACACTCTGTATGTGCGACATCTTCCCAGGGATTCTTGGGCATTTTTTCGATAAACAATTCTGTTATATGTATCTAGGATACCGTGTTTTTCCAAAGAAAACACCTTGGGGGCCAAACTGTCCGAAGAAATTGGACTGGACACAGAAACAGCTTCGGTAAACGGGAAACAAGTGTTCTGTCTGCCATTTATTTGTTGTCAACTAAGACTATATTCAACTTCCTACACACACTACTACTGTCCCTGATTTTAGCAGTAGTATGTCATTATTTGCCCAGCCAGCCTGAAGCCTAATCATCTGATTGTTGAAAAATTCAAATTCCAGTCCTATATCAGCTTATCTCTCGTTTGTAAGTAGGTTTTCGAGACTACCACTAGATCGTATTAATGAGGTATATTGCCTTAACTTTGTATAAAGTGATTAGACAACTTGGCCTTGCATTCTCAAAAATTACTTTTATCCACGCTAAAGTGGATTGTACTTTTGGCCTCATCAGCGAACCGTGACATTGCCATATATACTCTCGACACATTAACCAATCTCTAACGAAATAGTGTGAATACGCTCCACACACAAATGATCGACTGATGGTCTCGAAAACCTACTTATAAACCAAGCATAAGTAACGTAGTCGAATGCTGCAGCAAGTGCAACTTTGCTTCATCGACAATCGCACTAGAGACCTTCCTTGAATTTCACATCTGCCCTGTGACCCAAGGGCTCTCATGGCAATATGACGTAGTGGCTAACGTGTCATAGTTCGAGTCCTGCTGGGGGTGTTGATGTGACCATTTGAGGGTGGAGCATCCAGACTGGACCCCAGTTGACCCTGGATGAGAAAACCCTTTTGGAAGCGAGCCTATGCGAAATTCATACATATAGTCTCACATAAATGATATACATCACCTTATGCGAAGTGGGGTGACTACAGCTCTAATATATTTGTGAATTAGTGATAGTGCCGACATAGGCCTAGAAACGAGAAAATGTCAAAAGACCCTGTTTCCAGGCCAACCAATTGTCGACCCGTGGTGGAGGTCTTGCTGCGAACATGCCCTTTCGGCCGGCAACTCTAGGCCGGCCAGATAGCGATGTCAGGCCTCAGATGCTATCGCCACCGCAACAGTAATCGCACTCTTCATCGTCGTGCCGAGGCTACCGGACGGGGACAGCTGCCTTCTGAGGCATCAGACAAACCTCGTCACCAGCTGCTTCAACACGTACTCTGGCCTGACAACTCGGCCGCCCAAAAGGGCCAACAGGCCAAAGCGAACTTTAGCGATTAACTTTCTAGCATCGCGCCGACGTGACCAGACCGATGGAGGTGTGTTTACACACACCACGCACACGGCGCGTGCGACACCATGCCGCCTCCACATGTCCACCTACTACACCCAGCCCGACCTGCCCTCTTCGCCTACCTCTCGCTCCTTTTCTCTGTCTTCTCTTTCTTCCTCTACCTCTGCCTCTCCATCTTCATTTATTTCTCCCTCTCCCTCTCCCTCTCCCTCTCCCTCTCCCTCTCCCTCTTCCT